AAAAAAAAAAAAAGAAGAAAAAAAGAGGATGAACTTCCGGTGAAAGCCTCTCGTCTGGAGCACCTGACCTGGACTAACTCGCAGTAAAAGGTCACGAACAGGAAATAATGACCCGTGAGGAGGACTCGCGAAAAAAGGAACTACCTTTCTGTGCGTACAGTTGAAAGAAGCTCACGAAGAACCATGAAAAGGTGATCAGTGAAAAGAAAAGATAAAAAGATAGTAAAGAATTTATACAGAAAAAAAAAAAAACAGAAATAAAAACCAAATATATATATAAAAAAAATTTTTAAAACCAAAAATGTGAGATAAATATAAGTGAAATAATGATAAGATATTGTAAAAAACTTTGTAAGTTGTGCGATAAAAATGTTTTAACAAATATATTATATTCATATTCATAATATTGTGAATTGTTATGTTGTTAGTTAATTCAAAAAATTAATTTTACTTTTAAAGTTTAAATATATATTGAGATAGATTATTTAACAAGAGTTGTTTGTTGAATGTTTGTAAAAAAGAAAAAGTTGTATCGAAAGCCCTCCAAACTTGAAAGGGACGGAGTATAAATAAATAAAAAAAAATATTATATTCATAATATTGTTAACATAATCTCAAGTAATATACGCAAGGGTTCGAACAAAAATTTAACAAAAAAAAACAAAATATATATAATACTACAAAATCAAATGTGCAAAGAGATGAAATAAAATCGAATAATATAGTATCGTAAAAAATAAAATATAAATAAACGAAATGGAATGTGGAATAATTAAAAAGTAGGATTACAATAAATAGAAGGGGTGTTGCGTGCATATAAATAAAGTACAAGTAAATGGAAAAGAAAAAAAAAAAATAGATTAAATTTAATATAAACGAAATAAATACTTTGTTGCACTTTTGTAAAAAACTTTGTAAGTTGTGCAATAAAAACCTGATTATATATATATATATACTTTGTTGTACTTTGTTTTTTTGCATTCAAAATTACGAAGAAACTTTTTCCCCGATCTGTTATAAGAGAAAACTTCGGTTAAATAAATATTTAAAAAAAATCCCAGATATAATATATATATATATACGCGTGTCTGCAAAGTATTTATAGTATGGGATAATAATAAAATAAAAAAAATTACAAAAAAATTACACACAAAAAAAAAAAGAAAAAAAAAAGAAATAATACTTACGGGTCATTGGTCTTTGGTAGGAGGGTGCCAAGCTCCTTGATCCTGTCGTTGATGTTAAAACGCCTTCGTCGTTCGACTGAAAACGGAAATTGTATACATCAATCATGGGTGTGCATGTCAGATAAAACGATACTAATTCTTTCGTAACATGCTCACACTTTAATCTCCTTATTATATAATATATATATATATGCATAAACTTTCTCTTGTCGATTTTATTATTGCACAGTCGGGTTTCATTAAATAGATTAATATCGTAGATAAATTATTTATCAATGTTCGTATTGAAATGTATCTAAAAGGTGAAAATAATATTGACAAATGTTTATTGTAAAAATGAATAATTTTTCTATATGATATATTATTCTCTCGTGTTTTCTCATTAATTTAAAATAATAATTATTCAATTTGCATATATATATATAGATTTTTTTTTAATGATTATTTTCAGTTCATAGATTTTTAAATATAATAATTCAAATATTTTTAAATATAATAATTAATAAAAATAATAATTGATAGATTTTTAAATAATAATTCATTTCATTACAAAATTTTTAATGTAATATAATTCAGTTGATATAGATTTTTAAATGATAATTCATTTCATCAGATTTTTTTTTTCAGTGTAATATGTTTATAGATTTAAAAAAAAAAATGATAATTTAATTCAAGATAAATTGATTTTAAAATTGACATTAACTTAAATGAAAGATCGGTAATGTATAAAACAGTTGATTGTTTTATTATTATATTCGTCCTTTATCAATATGTATCACGAGGATATGTATAAAACCACGTGCCTCTAGAAAGGATTGCAAATGGGATTGCACAATTTTCAAGGTAACGTCAAAGAGACGACCCATCGGCACGTGACCTCGATTTCAATCGATTATTCCGGCCAGGTATATCGAACGTATGTGTATATCACATACAAAAGGTCGATTTAACTTCTATCTTATATAAAACACCATACACACAATTTTTCTTTCTTATAATATACTACTAAAAACAAATATTTTCGTCAAGGAAATTATTTCGAATTTATTTTCTTGAAAAAAAAAAGAAAAAAAATTTAAACAAGTTTTAAATATTTATATATATATATTTTTTGTTGTAATTGATACTTGATTAATAATTGAATATTTGTAATACGAGTTAGAAGGTTAAATAAATTGATAAATAAATTTACGAAATTATGAAATGACAAATTTTTATTTACATCGGAACGAGTGAAAAAAAATATTTTTCAATATTTAAAATTGTGCGAATATTTGTTATAGTTCATTTAGAAAATTAAATGATCATTTTTAAAATATATATAT